CCCCAAAACCCCAAAACCCCAAAACCCCAAAACCCCGATTTTTAACTTGGGTGCTGAAAATAGTGATTTATGTGCCATTTCTAACAAATATATCGTATCTACTCATCTTCCTCCTCATCATCATCTTCAGTCTGGTGGAATATGTAGCCATTGATGTTCTCAACCTTAAACGTGTCTCTGATCTTCAGAGAAGTGTCGCCCCACAACAGTTCGTCCCATTTCAAGTCTTTGAATATGTACTTGACATCTGGCGCTGGTAATGGAATGCCACTCTTGCGCATGTAGTCGAGGTCTTTGAACAGCGGGTCTTTGACTTCAGCCACTCTGTAAAACTTGGCTTCGGTTTCTACAGTGTCAGACTCCACGAACTTACCTCCGGTCTGGTCGTCAGCAGGCACTTTATTTCCACCTACAACTGATTTCGAACCGCTTGTCCAGTGTCTCAATGTACAGGATTTCTGTTTTGAGAGCTTCAGCAATAGGCTTGTTGGCGTTACCTTTGAACACGAACTCTCCGAGGTCGAACTTGTTGATGGGCTCACCGCTCAGACTGAATACAATGCTCATGTCTTTGTGGGCGCTAGAAGCTTTTCTTGGGTGTTTGTTTTTCCCTAAATGTGAGTGAGAATAGACTGATAGATGAGTCCAATATCCATTCATAACTGGAAATAACAATGTTTGTGTATGACTTACTTCAAATGCCTCTCTTCTTAGTTGACATTGGTGCAGCCAATTTGCTGAGCTCGTCTTGGGTCCCAACACTTTCAAGCGGAACAGCCAATTCGAACTTCAGCGAGTGGCAATCGAACGACTGAGTCTTTCTGCTTCTGAGTCCGTTCTTGAAATGAGAGGCGTAGTTGGACCTGCTCTTGCTGACTTTGAAGTAGACTGCAATTCCAGGGAAATCAGGCAAATCTTCTTTCAGAATTATCTGGCCACAATGTTGCAGGATGCACACGATGTCCGAGTCAGAGGTGTAGAACTCATTTCCCCAGAAGTCTCGCTTCAGCAGAGCTGGGTTCTGGTTGGTCAGGTGTTCTCTTAACACAATGACTTTGATGTAGCCTCCGAGATGATCAGACAGCTCAGGTAGGTTGTAGAACACATTGTACAAGAACTGGGCTCTGCAGTTGCGGTCCATCTCGTGAAGCCTGTTTTCATCGTCACTGTCGTAAGGCTTGGACTTCTTATCGCTGGCTTGTCTACGAGCATGAGAAGTTCTGCTTCTGAGAAACACAGTGGAGTTCCTGGAAACATTACTGAGTTCATTGTGTTTGGCTTCTTCGCTTTGAGATGAACTTGAAGAAGAGTTTTTGTCTGGAGAATTGTGTGGTTGGTTTAATGATGAGTTTAGAGTAGCCTCTGGCTTAGAAGGAGGATTAGAATTAGGTCCTTGTTGAGCAGTAGTATCCATTTAATAACTAAATAATTATAAAAATACATTGAAAATCTTAAGATAGGGGTTTTGGGGTTTTGGGGTTTTGGGG